ACATGCACACAACCTTGTTCTTTTTGCCTTTCTTTCTTTGGCTCGCCAATGTCTGAGAAGTAGAGAGGTTGTTCCCATTTGCTGCTTCACTCCCTGCCAGCCAAGGCTGAGCCAGTGAATGGACCAGGCCAAAGCCAGGGGTCTGAAAAGCAGCCAGGTCTCCCATACGGGTATTGGGAACCCAAGTCCTTGGGCCGCGTCAGGTATGCCTCGGTAGGAAGCTCAAGTCGAGAGGAGAGCTGAAACCCTGAGCCTGAAACTCCTTCTGGGTCTCACACACAGGTGGTAGCATCCCTGCTACTTGAGGCAGCACCTCTGACACCCATGGTCACATGAGTGGAGTCAGGAGTCCTACTCAAGTTCTGTGACTCTGGAAGCCTCTGTCAGCCTGTAGGTTAAATCCCTCCTTCCGCACCCGCCTCCCTCTCCGTTTAAAACTATCAGCAGGAAAGTTTATACAGTTCTTGTCCTCAAAGGACGGTCTTTTAAAGTGAGGACATTATGATCACTTCAAATGCAGGCTTCCATTCCAAGTGGAGGAAAATGGGCAGAAGGCAGAATACATGTATTATAATGAAGCTTTGGCTTGGAATGTGGGCAACACATGGATCGTATTTGACTCCAAGATGTTAAATTACTTTTATCTGAGAGCTATTAATTCTTTGCAGGTGTGGGTTAATGATGTGCTTGTGGGTAGAATATTCGTCCTTGGAATGTCTTGTTCTGCTTTATACAAGTTTGTAGGGAAATAGCTCAAGTTCAGCTGTGGTGTTGCCCAGATTCTGTGTTCCAAGCTTAGCCTAAGCCAATGGACGTGAAATACAGTTACCCTTCAAGACCTCAGCTTTGTTCTTCGCAGTTCTTTGTCTGGGTGCTGGCCAACGAAGAGGGTGTGGGCTAGGGCATTTGGCCCCGCCTGAGCCTTCACCTCCATGAAGGGCTTCAGATGTGACTTGTAATGCTTTGACAATATCTCCAAATACAGTCATGAAAAGCCTCGGGAGGATGAAACATAGTCATTGTACAACTCTGAAATACCACAGTTTGTGTAACTCTGTTTTGGCATTTGCTCTTTTTGCCTGGGAACCCAAGAATCAGTGGAAGTGGGGTGGACCTTTTGTGAGCTTGTAAGAAACCTGTGTTAAAGTGTGTTTCCTGCCTTTTCTATACGGATAAACAAGATGAACCAAATGAGTTCCTCAGTCCCCGATTGTTCTCTCTGATTTTCCCAGGGTCCTGATACAGACGTGGGGCCCTGTGGCTCTTCAGGGTGGGAAGGGTGGTAACTGATGTTTTTAGGGCACAAAGCAATATTTCTGCAGATACAGACTGTTGTTGGGAACTCTTGATTTAAAAAAGGAAAACAAAGAAGTAGCCCAGAAAGCTGCCTGGAGCTTGTGAGAGGAGGAACCAGTGCATTCTAATAGCTACAGGGTGATACATGCCGGCAACATGGAATGCAGAGTTTACGTTGGAGGTTTGTTCTGATGCAAGAAGAGGTGAATTGAATGGAAGATGGCTCTTTCTGCTCTGTTCTCATCCAGTGAGTAGGGAAGGCATCCAGGCTTCCCCTCCTTCTTGGCCAATTATGTATGCTTCCTGAAGTGGCCTTTGTAATAGTAACCTTAGTTTCTTAGCATCCTTTCTTACTTGCGTGATGAACTGAGATAATGAAAGGCAAGGGCACTTGGCCTGAAGGTGCAAATAGCTAAGCTTTCTGGGGACACTTTAAAGCCTTGTTTGTAGGAATCTTTGAAGGAGAGATCAGTTTTATGAGAGTCACAGCATTGCATGTGCTGACTTGCTTGTAAAAATTATTAAATGACTTGATAAGAGGTATGCTCCAATCAGCAGATATTCATATATATGCTCTATGCAGCGGTGTATATACGTTCATATACTCAATTAGCGGGAAGGCTTTTTTGCTCTCCTGCCAGTTTGTGTGAAGGCTCATTGCTGCATTTTTCCGAATGGCCTTTGCAATAGAGTTGTATTTCTTGAGATTGGTCAGAGTTGCCTGTGCTGTTCATTGCCCTGTGAATTCACAGAGCCGTCCGCTGGTAGGGAAGTGTGCTTGTTTTCATTCAGGGTTCTGAATAGTGTAGTGTCTTATTTCATGGAGTGTTAGGAAACGTTTTTCAAATCTTTGTTTTTATTTGAAAGGCAGATTGAGAGAGACAGAGAAGGTGAGCTTCCACTCACTGGTTCACTTCCCAAATGGCTGCACCAGACTCGAGCCAGGAGCCAACAGCTTCAGCAAGGATCCCCACGTGGGCGGCAGGGGCACAGGCGCGGGGATCTGCTGCTTTGTGCAGGACATCAGTCGGGAAGTGGATCGGAAGGTGGAACAACTGGGACAACTGGTGCCCATGTGGGATGCCAGCACCAGGGGGAGACTTTACGTGCTATTCCACACGCTGGCCCTGTTTTATTAAATAATTGCACCAAATATTCCTTTTTTCATGCTAATCATGAATAACTGTGAGGTTTTGTCATGCACTAGGTTGTGTCTTCATGCTGAATTTGTAACGTATCTACAGTAAATGAAAATGTGAACTTCAAGTTCCTGAGTGATATTTACCTGGAAGGGATAGTGAGTGTATGGAAGAATGGGACCAAGATGCAGAATGGGTCCCCATGAGTTAAAGCAGTACTTCAGAATTTGATCCTAGGCTAAATGGATGAAAGCTGGGTGTACTCCAACCCAGGTTGAGGTGTTTCAACTATGGCAGTTGGAGCTGATTATACTGATCTGAAGTTGTGATGAAACTGTACCAGTCCTACCAGGCCTAGGAGGGATGTCCACAGCCTGGGCCTGCGCTTACATTCCTTCAGCCAGGCCATTTTGGCCATGCCATCTCTCCTTCCCAAGGCCTTTTCCTTCTGTCTAAAGATACCAAGATTTTTGGCAAGTTTCCCATCTGGAATTCTTCCTTGTGCTGGGTCATCATCTGGCATTGTGCCACCTGCTTCTTCATCATGTGTGGTCTCCTGAAGAGTGTTATTGGACTGAGTTTTTCAAACAGAGCATGAAGGTCCTTCCAAATGCCCATGGAAAATATCTGGGTTGAAAAAACAATGCATTGATAATTTCAAAATGTTCTGCACCAAAATAAACTTACCTTTTAATTCAGTTTCTTATAAGCCGTTTGAAGAACGCTTGTACTTTGCAAACCAGAGAACACGTTATAATAATTGTCCAAGGCGCCGGAAGTGCCATGTGCTGATGGCTGTTGCCGAGTGTGATGAAAATGAAGCCCAGGCTGGTGTGATCTATAATCTTGTTGGCTGCTTTCTTATTATGACTATAGAGTGTGCGTATATAAATTTTTTTTTCTCAGATGACAGATCGAAAGTGCTGTCACCTGATTCTCTTTGCTTTTATTCTTGTACCTGTTCTTAAGCCTAGACACTGAGGTCTCCTTTGTTTCGGGTGTACGAGGAACTGGCTGAGGTTCTGAATCGGTGATTCTCCGTAAGGTTGGGCACTCCGAGTGGGCTTTTAGCGGCAATAAACAAGGAGGCAGAGAATGAACTGGTCACTTGTGTTGTACCAGTGCTCCTGCTTTCCTCATACTGCGTGTCCTGCTCCAGTATTTGTAGATGGGATTATGCACTCCCTGGACTCATCCTCATCAAATGGCCTGATTACATTCCTTTTGTACTATTAAACTTATATTTCAAGAAATTCCAGATTACTTTATTAAACTTACTAGGGGAATTACAGAGGTGTCATCTGGGACCGTGCGGCTAGAAATTACCTTTTATTGTATCTGTCTGAGAGTTTGTGTTTATCCAGACATCTGCAGTCAATTAAGAGTGCGCCTCCAAAAACTAGAATACTGACTTGAATTTCTGCGATTGCTTACAAAGAAAGTAATGAAATCCAGTGATCGGGAAGAGTGAAATTGGGACCCATGTTGTAGTCTTGATTTTTGAGTTTTCTTTCTCTTGTATTTTCTTTGCCTTGTCAAGAGGAAATGGCTTGAAGATCTGTGGCTGCAAGATAATCCCATGCTTTATTCTCTTCTTCCATATTTAATTTCTGAATGGGTCCCTCTCTTCTCTCCACATTTTTTAGGGAAAGGCAGAGATGTTTGTGGGTTTAAAAACCTCAAACTTGACAAGAAAGGGCACATGAAAAAGCCACATTTAATTAGAAAAATAAAGTTTATAGGTTCAAGGTTTTAGACTTCTGGAAGAAATATGATGTCATTCAATGATCTCATTTTTCTTTCGTCTAATGGACATGTGTATCTGGTAGAGATTCTTCAGGCTTATAACAGCAAAGGAATATTCAGGATGGGAAAAATGAGATGGCACAGGATAGATAAGCCAGTCTGAGTATGTTTCTGGCTTGTGTTACTAGCAGGAGCCAGGCAGAGGGGAGGGGAGCCATGGTGGCTTATGTGTAGCCCATGATTGACTGGAATAACCCAGCTTCCTTGAAGTTAACATGGTGGGCACCTGCTGGCGGGGGGAGTGGTCCTTCTTTTCATCTTGGAAGCCCAGCTCTCCATATACCTCATTTTGAGATGAAAGAAAATGTCTAGAAGATTTCAGGAATTTTCCCCCTTATCTTTCTCTGAACAGTGTTTGTCTAAGTGCATTGTCATTTCCAGATCCAGATCCTGGCTGAGCCGCCCCTGCCCTTGGAAGCCTTTCAGATGTTCTCCTAGGCAGGGAGCTGATTCAAGTTTTTATTATGTTCCATGGGCTTGTTTTTTTTCTCAACGGAAACACGGCTAGAATTCGCTACCAAAATTCCATGCTGAGAGGCATGCAAAGAGGGGATGGACTCTGTGTGTGTGTGTGTGTGTGTGTGTATAACCCATTTGTCTTTGAAATGGAGTCCCTGCTCACTTTGCTGACGGTGCCCCTTGGGAGCTCTCTCCACATCTCTGGCCGTGCTGTATGGAGAGGTCACCTCCCGGGCGCTGTGTCTAGGGAGCTTTGAGGCAACGCTGTGGTCTCACGAGCCGCCTTTGCTCACCTTTCAGGGACGGGAGAGAGCGGCAAGAGTACTTTCATCAAACAGATGAGGATCATCCATGGGTCGGGCTACTCCGATGAAGACAAAAGGGGCTTTACCAAGCTGGTCTACCAGAATATCTTCACAGCCATGCAGGCCATGATCAGAGCCATGGACACACTCAAGATCCCGTACAAGTATGAGCACAATAAGGTAGGTGTGACCCCTCGTTGCCCTGCTTAGCACAGCTGACCCGTCACAGGTCCCTCTGTGACACAGCAGGATTGCTGATGGATTGGCCATGCACAGTGGGTACATTGCTGAGCTCATTGTCAGTGACCTTTTTGAAGGGTAGTAAGATTAAATGTCTCTTTCCTCAACCTTTAAACTTACATGTATACAAAATTGAGATTGTATTTTTAGTGATGTCAGTGAAAGATATAATTGGGTATTTGATGATAAATATAGAATATGGGGACACACATTCCATTAAGAAGATAGTTTATAAATAAATTGGCCAGAATGAGGGGGGCCTTACTTCCGCCTCCCACTCTTGGTGCTTCGTTGAGAAAAGGATGAAAACAGCTTAAGATCATTCTCCTGTTTTCATGTTGAATACAGTGCTTTTCCTTTCGGTAGGCCCACATGCTTCATTTTATTTCATAATAGGTCCATCTGTCACTTCGGTAACCTTTCCAACATGTTTCCATTCAGTTGTCTTAAGTAACACAAGCTAAAACCAGTTGAGAAAGGATTAGAGAAATGACACCCGAATTTCTAGCGTTTTGGAAAACAAGCAGATTCTTCCAGTGTCCCGCATTATCTTTTGGTTGAGACAGAAAACAGCTCCCCCTGTCCACTCCCCCTGTCCGCTCCCCTTGTCCGCTCCCTCTCTCCACTCCACCTTCTCGGTGTTACAGAGCTGTGGCAGCAGGCAAGGCTGTTGAGGCTCCATGCGGCTCTTCACTGGGCTCCACCTGCACAGTGGAAAGCTGCTCGGCAGAGAACGGAGTGGCGTGGGGCGGGGGCTGTGCAGAGGCCTCACTGCAGAAAGGGAAATCTCTTTAGCGATTGTGGAAGTGCCTTTCTGGTCTACTTTCTTCCTTTTTGTTGCATCCCCCCCAGTCCACGTGGCCCTTATTCCTCAGGGCTTCTAAGTGCTTCTCTGAGGGTGAGTCTTACCGATGGTTGATGAGGCACTGCATTTGTACTTCTGACTATTTTAGAGCCCTCAGTTAGACACTTCATTCTCTCCGTTTGCTGGGATCAGTTGATAACAGCAGAAGCTGGCCTGCCCAGTATGGCTCATAAACTGAGATTTCACTCACAAAAATGAATTGGAAGGTGAAGTAAGGCAGTTTTGCGTACCTTCACTTCTGTTACCACCTGCAGGTTTGTAAGTCAAAGACTTCCACAATACCACCAAAGTGAGGCATGCCTTTTCCTTGAATGCTTCCTGCACTCGCTTGCTCCCTCCCGTCACACTCAGTCTTCCACCAACAGAAAGTATTTCTCTACAAATGACAAAGAATCCTTCCCAAGTCATCCTTCCAGTTTTTGCTTTTAGGAAAGGAAAGAGCTGGGCAGGTTTGTGAATTCAGAAACATGGAACCTGAGACAAACCAGCCTGGTTTAGATCTGTTCCTAAGTTGCCTAAATGGTGAAGGGTCACACCCGTCCCTCTAAGACATCCCAGTGTAATGAGCTTCTGAAATAGATGGCAAGGTTGCTGTCCCATGTCTGAGAAAATGCTGTCGGCTTCTTTTTAGTGCCAGTGATTTTCCTGAATCTATGGTGGTTGATAATAACATGATTTGATGAATTTCCAGCTGTTATTTTGTGTGCAATACACATTTTTATTGACGTACGTACACGTTGCCAATATAGATAATGTAATAGGATATGATGTACCTTTTTTTTTTAAATTCCTATGTATGTCAGAAGAAACCTTCAGGATCATACCCTGATGTAAGATTTTCATAGAAGTATTATTTATTATTATGTAGATGTGGAAGCTTGGGAGCTATGCTTAATTTGTGAAACACAATGAAATGTGTTTAGTGACTGTTGTGTTTGAACCCTTCATATTGACTTTAATTCAGTAGATTTTGTTGTGTTGAACATCATTTACTTAAAATAATCACATTATTGACTTCCTCTAGAATTACAGTTATGTCTTTTTTTTTTTTGGGGTCTTGTTATTATGTGAATTCTTCTTTTGACTCTTGGTTACTTTAACAGTTTCCTGATATGATATTAGTGTGTGATGATCTCTGAATTATGTTGAATCTCTTAATTCATAGAAACAATGTGATTTACCTGTGTTCCGCATTTTTCTATACCATATACAGACTCCTATGGATGCTGAAACCTGCCGGTTCTCAGGTCCCTGTATCAAATGGCACAGTGCTTGCACATGAATGTGAACAGCCTCACATCATTTCTAGATTACTTATCCTATCTAATAGAATGTAAATTCTGGAAGAATAGTTGTTACACTGTATTGTTTAAGGATTAATGACAGGAAAATGCACTGCATCTATTCAGTCACAGGCTCAGTTTGGGTGTTTTTCAAATCTGGTCCTCAATCTTTGATCCTTGCTTGGTTGTGCTGGCAGCTATGGGTGTGGAAGACTGGCTGCTCGTATTCTGCAATGTCCCTCTCCCCTTGCCTCGTGCTCTGCGGATTCCTTGCCTTTGTTGATGCTTAGTACGGAAGTCATGTCTCTCTTCCCAGTTCAGTTCAGCAGCCAGGTCCTTCTAGAGTTCTTGCCCGTTAGCGCTGCTCATCCTGAGCAATACCACCCACCTTTCACATAATCCCGCATGGAGTGTTTGTGATTGCTTCAGTTGTCTTAGGGACTTGGCTAGGTTCAGAGCTCCTTGGCTGATTTTTTAAAGATTTATTTCAAGATTGTTTTTATTTAAAAGACAGATTTTGCAGAAAGACAAGGAGAGACAAAGAGAGAAGGGTCTTTCATACACTGGTTCACACCCTAAGTGGCCGCAAAGGCCTTAGCCTAACTGATCAAAAGTCAGGAGCCAGGAGCTTCATGCAGATCTCCCCTGTGGGTGCAGGGCTCCAAGGACTGAACCATTCTCTGCTGCCTTCCCTGGCCAAGCAAGGAGCCTGATTGAAGTGGAGCAGCTGGAACACAAAGTGCTGCCTCTATGAGATGCTGGCTCTGTAGGTGGAGGCTTACCATGCTATACCGCAGCACCAGCCTGAAAGCAAGCCATAAGGCGGTCTTGTCTTTAGATTCTTCATTGTCTGGCATTGTGCCTTGCCCATGGTACGTGCTCACATGACTTTTTTTTTTTTTTAATGAATAAGTGAATCATTTGTGAACTTCAGCAAGTGAAAGTCTTTCTTCAGATTTTGGAACACGATTGTTCAGCTCCACACGTGGTTGTTGAGTTCTCTCTGTGTGCACAAGAGAATGGCTGCGCAGTACGGGTTGTCGGGACGCAGAGAAGGTTATTCAGGGCCAGACAGAATTTACAGTACAGAGAGGGGGCATGCGTGTATCGCAGGAAGGGGTACTTGGGTGAGAAGAGACGGCCGGAGTCAGTCAACGGAAGGAGTGTGCTAGCAATGCAGAAACTGGCCAGGAGGACTGGGAAATGGTTTAGGATGTTCTTGTGAAAGGTATTGAATCCAGGCAACATTTACATTTCTTTCAGGTGTTTATTATTTTAATAATAATTTACACTTTGCTTAGAATTGTCTACAGAAATTCCATACCATGTTGTTTGCTGTATATGTCACTGTCTAAAGAATTTAGTTTATATTTGATTAGCAGTCACTTAGAGTCAGTACAATCTGATGCATATTTTATTGTGACACTGAGGATAAAAAAAATAAATGATAAATAACCATTTTTGATTTTTTTTTAAAGAAAGCTTCTGTGTGCGTACCATCGTGTTGGCCATCAGCTATAAATGTTGTATAAGTAAACGGATCCCCGTATTGTGTAGTACAGCTTTGTACTGGTCTTTGAATACATGTATTTTGTGAAGCAAAACACACATATTACGACTTCTTCTGAATTTTTCATAAGTTTGTTTGCTGTGGAGTTGGTTCTAGCTTGGGGAGTACTACAGTGGAATATTGTTTTCTTCTTCTTTCGCTTCTACCTAAGGATCATCATAATGAGTGTATTGAGTTGAGGGTCCTGCTGGCTTGTTAATGGGAGGGGGCAGGGTTCAGGGAAGGCTTGGACCAAATGTTATGGTTGTGCTTGCCATCTTATAAACTTCAGCCTGTTCAGGGATTGCATGTTAAGGAAGAAAGTTTTGATCAATTGTTACAGATTACAAACTTTTCTCAAAGATTTTTACCTGAATGTATTTTTTTGTTGTTGTCCTGTAGTTTTGTTTGCCCAATAAGTTGCTTTTATAGGTTTGCTGCTTAGAATTCAGCCCAGGTAGGAAGACATGTAAGTTTTAGGCAGATCCTGAACTCATGGTTAGCAGGTTCAGTAATTTTGTCTTGTATCAGAAAGCCACTGTAGGTAGCTAATAACAAATGATTTAAGTGTCACTTGACCAAATCCAAACATAAAACTAAGACCATGCTCCATCTGAGACACTTGGCCGTAGAACTATCCATCATTTCTTTATTACAAAAGGAAGAGTTCTCATCACTTCTGTCTAGTATGAACATGCTCTTCTGATTATCCTTTGATTTGATGCTGAAGTCAGCTACTATGTAGAAGTTAATATGGCTAAGAAATCCCCTTGCATTTCAGCTTGGGTAAGCGGATCCCGAGAGTTTGAACTCCTGGTTTTTATGTCCCGATAGCATGCACAGTTGGTGTTCTTCCTGCATGGCCTGTTGTTGGTTGTGATTTCCTATGTGCATGCTCTATTTTCTCGTCAAATTGCAAATTACCTTAGAGTAAGCAAGCTTCCTGTTCTAGCGTTCCTTGTCTCCTACACGACACGCTGGGAATGTCATGGAGTTTTTATTCATTGAGTGAATAGCACTAGGGACTGGACCCTGCGTGCCTTTGTAGCCGGCTTGTTGTTCTGTGAGCTGTGAAGTCGGGGTTCTCTTACGGTTAGGTCACGGTGGTGGAGGGCTTTCCTCCCTCTGCCTGTCCCGGGAGGAGGATGAAATGTGATTCGAGTCTCTGGACGTGTGACAGTTCTCCAAGAGGACTTGGCTCATGCTCACGTTCAACAGTCAGTTTCACATTTTGTTCTACAGG